TTTGATGATTAAACCTGGATATTTGAGTAACTCAACAATATTTTGTTTATTCTTGCTAGAGTCCTAGCTGAGAAGAGATTGCCCTCGTTGTCTGCCTATCCACAAGAGAATTGGATAAAATATGGCATGGGGGTGGGGCAGGGGTGGGTTTCTCACCCCGTTCCAACCGGTTCGGTTGGAACGGGGCCGGTGGCGTCCTTGTGCACGTGCGCGGTGCATGCATGCGTACTAGCATCTGCGCGACGCTCCAGCTGCTCCTGGAGGATCACGCCGGCGCTGTAAGCGAGCTGGGCCTGCGAAGAAGAACAGAATTCATCAAAACCGGGTAAGGACTGCAGGCGGGCGGGCGTGCCCTTCGCCGTTCCCGGAAGTTACTTACTTCCGGGTTCGCCGACCAACCGGTTCGCAGGGACCGCCACGAACCGGTTGAAACCCACCCCTGGGGTGGGGGGAGATAAGCTAGCAAAATAAATGTTGAGTTTCAAAATAAAATGGAGCAGGTTAGGAGCTATGGAGAAGAAAAATAAAACTTCCAGATAAATGTACATGAGGCATTCCTATGGGAGATGCAATTGGGTAGTTGCTTGAAATGTTGCCGACTACTCTGTTCTAAGGCCTCTCCTCCATCTTTTCCAGCCCTGTGAACAAATCAGAGAATAAAGAGCTTGCCCAGATGCAGATTCATGCAAGAGGAGAACATCATAGAGAGGCACTACTTTCTGCATAAATTAAAATCCAGGAGTTGGAAAGAACACCATAAGCCACACTCTGAAGACTTTCCCTGACCTTGTTTTGACTCTTCCTTTTGACTTATTATTTTTGTACAGCAGGTATGGAGAGCACATGGAATTTTTTCTTCCCCACAAAGCAAGCGAAATGTCTTCTGGATATGCTTGCTCATCCATAGAAATGTTCCAGGTCACTGCATTGTTCCATATTGTGATTACAGCCTTTTGCACAGGGTGGAAAGCATCTTGTATCCTAAAATGATCCATGAGGACTTTTCGAAACAATCAGTAGCAATGGATGACTTAACCATGCTTCACTAGCATTCCTGTGGCTTTGCAATGCAGTCCTTTCCAGTATGGTGAGAAATGTGCATGGCCTGCAGATCATGGGATCAGCTTGATCGCCAACTTCATGCCAAGTCCCCTTGCCATCAACTTCTAGATGGTTTTCAGCTCCATATCACTAATGCAGGAGGGTTGGTAATAGTCATCGACAGATACATCCTATTTTGAAATAGCTGGATGAGGGCTGACAGCAGTAAAGGATGGGTTTACATGGGGTATTTTGCCCTATTTGTCTAGGTCTGTTTGAACCAGTAGGGAAAGTAAGTAAATACCACCCCTGGTGTGTGTGTGTGTGTGTGTGTGTGTGTGTGTGTGTGTGTGTGTGTGTGTGTGTGTGTATCTTTTTTATGTATGTATGGCATGTGTGA